TAAATAGCGTTTATCTCTAAAGATACCTTCGAAAAAAATACCTAATTTAAAAATAATCCACGCTTTAAAATTTGTTTGGACAAAGCTGCGATCTCTAGCCAGTAACTTAATAAAATCGTCAAAAACACCCAGAGAGTCTCGTTCTAAGCTAACCTCACGCCACTGGACAATATTTCGCGTGACCCAGCGCCGTGTTTTATTATGGCACACACCCTCCCCCTCCCCCTCCCCCTCCCCCTCCCCCTCCCCCTCCCCCTGCCTCTGTACCTTCGGTCCTCAAAGGGTCACTAATAGTTGTCTATCCCACTGCATACCTCAATGTCCACCTTAATTAAATTGTTCTTGACAATTTCTGGGGCTTTTAATTAAGTATTCCGTAAAAGTAGAGAGCATACTCATACAAAAATGTTACCGAAGTATTAACAAGCTGGTCATACAACTCGAAGAATGAACAACCGATGGAACAAGTGAACCATACAAACAAATACAATATTTTTTTTAATGCCACTTAGAATGGCAAACAAGCTGACGGCCCGCCTGATGGAAATTAACCGTCGCCTATGGATATGAACATCATAAATATGATGTATTATACTGAAATGAAAATTAAATGGAAAGCCATAAGTATGTTTTTTTCAATTGCGTGCGTGGGTGCGTGCATACGTTGTGTATAAGAAAGAGCGTGTAAGAAAGAGCAAGTATGTACATCCCTAATTATATTTAAGAACAATCGATATAATGTAATTATTATATTACATAACATATATATGTATATACAAGTATAACATAAGTATATTAGAAATTAATTGAAAAAAAATCATAGATTAAATAGATAGAGTGTCTCCATACAAATGCTTCGAGAAAAACGGGTCAACTTTTTTTCATACAATTTTGCGTGACAAATAGTTATGAGTGATTCCTTTATAACTTCTATATTTATTTTCTCTTATAATCTCTGCATCTTTTTAATGCATAAACACTCATTTTATTTATTAAATAGTATATAGAACACTGATAAAAAAGTCAGTAAATTTGACAAATAGCTAACAAAAAGTTGATCCGTTTTTGAGGCTCGATGCTCTGTCTATATAATCTAAAATTAAAACCTATCTTTCATTTTACATCCTAAAGGATATTTAGAAAATTTAATATAAAGGGAAACACGACACCGCACATACAAAGCCACAGGGAACAGCTAGTCATTTATATAATAAAACAATAATTATTAAAACGTGTTCGACATTCTCGAGGCCTGTTCTTATTTTTAATTAATGCCAAATAATTGTTACAAGAGAACGAGTAATTAAATAACTTTCTTTGATTTTGTTTCCAACTATATACATTGTTTCTGTCAATAAATAAATCACATTCTGCAGACGGCATTTTATTTAACTTTTATATAGAGAAATATTGACTGTGGAGTAATAAATAAATCCATATGGAGTAGAGCGGAGGCGACCCCGGACCGGTGACCGGCTCGTCCTGTTGACCCCGAGTTAAACATTACCCCAACTATGCAGTTAATCTCCTCTTAATCATTAGCTAATATTGACACAGATTAGATTAACGTCGGTTTATTTCTAACTTATTATATGGCGAGGTACAAATAATTGACTTAGTTATAAATAAATGTTGAAACAAAAATAGAATTTATTTTTTATTCAAGTAAACTTATTTTTAAACAGTTTAAAATGTATTTTTTAAGACATTGTATGCATAACATAAGTCTCTTTTTCATTTAAGAGTTTCCTTTTGTCGATGCAACTAATTCATGCATCTTTCTCCAGCCAGCTCTATCCCAGGCCATATCACATAAGTATTGGATGCAATTTCGTAGTCGAGTTTTTTTTTAAAACAAGTACAATTCTTAGATATTACTCCTATATTTCAGTTCTTTATGAAACTTAGAATGGCAAACAAGCTGCCGGCCCACCTAATGGATAGTGGTAACCGTCGCCTATAAACATGAGCAGTACCATGGACATAACAGAGTATACTGTTTCGCCCATGATACCCCCCATACGTTGCCATTCTTGAGGACTCAGGTGTTAGTATTCTGTACCCTGTAATTTCACTGCCATATTCCACCCTTCAAACCGAAACACAGCCATGCAAACACAACTGATTCACGGTAGAAACACGAATGGGACAGAGGTGCCCAAGCAAACGGCTTTTGTACAAAGTCTCCCTCTGGTACTTTTACTTTTTATACACAAAGTTTACAACGTAGAGCATTTCTTTTTTACAAAATTGCTTATATATATATATATATATATATATGAGTTCATTTCTTAAACTGACCCAAATGGGATTCGAAGCTGGGACCTTATTTATTCAGACTTAAATGTCTCATACACGTTATACAACAAGAACGAATATTCAGAATTAATTAAAAAAAAACTATTCAGCAAACGTGGAACACTACATCACAACTGTTGTTTAACACGGAGTTTAAATTTCCTCTAAAACTCGCCGGTAAAGGCGGCAATGCGTGAAATACCCTTTTTGCAAAGTTTACATTGCAAAAAGGTTTTAAACGGGGACACGATCTGCAGATGAACGCTAGGTTCAGGTGTTCAGTTTCCATAGCTCTAATTAACTTTCACAATACCAACTATGTGTGAGTAACTGGAACTTTATCCACGGCTATATATGTATAAATTAACATCACAAACTTGGAACGGCGTCGGTTTACACTGCTCCATGTGAAAATGATTATATTGTCTTAAAAATTTATAATTAATTTATAAATAATAAATTTATAATTAATGTAATTGTAAATTTAATTTATTATATTAATTATATTATGACATTTATATGCATGTAATCTGTAGTCAATGTTGTGTACGCCTGCTATAGGTATAGATATCAGAGTACTACATAAGAAATGTTTTTTAATTTATGTATAATATGTATACTGTTGGTGTGCCTAATTCAGAATAAATAAATGAATAAATAAATTTAAATTAAATAATAATACATATATGTATTATAATCGTGGGTATGGCAGAAGAAGCATGAAAGTAAGATAAATGCTGTACAGATGAGAGCTTTGAGAAGTATGTGTGGTATTACTTTAAAAGATAGAGTAAGAAACAGTGTGATTAGAGAGAAGTGTGGACTGAAAGTCGATGTAGTGACCAAAATCGAAAAAGGAATGTTGCGTTGGTTTGGTCATTTGGAGAGGATGGATGAAAGAAGAATTACGAAAGAGATTTATCGAGCAAGAATGAATGGAGATGTCGGTAGGGGCCGCCGTAGACGGACGTATGTCGACCAAATAGGCGACGTGCTGAAGAAGGGCCAAATTAAAAGTACCCGTAACCGACGAGCGTGTATGAAAAGATTGATGAATGTGGAAGAAGCGAAAGAGGTTTGTTTGAATCGAAGCATTTGGCGTTCCATTGTTTCTGCCTACCCTAATGGGAGACAGGCGTGACAGATATGTATGTATGTATGTATTAAATTATTTGCTTGAATACCTCTGTTCCATTCGTGTTTCAACCGTGAAGCAGTTGTGTTTACATGGCTGTGTTTCGGTTTGAAGGGTGGGATATGGCGTGAATTTACTGGGTACAGAGGAATAACACCCGAGTCCTCAGGAATGGCAACGCATGGGGGTATCATGGGCGAAACAGTATACTCTGTTATGTCCATGGTACTGCTCATGTCTATAGGTGACGGTTACCACTTTCCATCAGGTGGGCCGTCAGCTTGTTTGCCATTCTAAGTTGTATAAATACAAAAGTAAATATCCCGTTAAGTTGATACAGAATCTATGTTATCAATCAAAATACCAAATTTCACCGAAATCCGTTTAATATTTTATTACAGTAAGTCCTTATGTATTGCGTAAACAGACTCAGTTTAACCGAGTCAGTGAATGCAGGTGGCTCGGGACCTTTTCTATTTTTTTTTTTTACAACACAGGGGGCAAACGAGCATGCGGCTCACCTGATGGTAAGCGACTACCGCCGCCCATGATCACCCACAACAATGGCAGTCTATGGGGAAAGTCTATGTTCAACAGTGGACAGATAACAGCAGATGGTGATGACGACGATGACGAAATATTCGCCTAAAAAGCCGGTCAAGTGTGAGTCGGGCGTGTTAATTTTTTTAACTTTTTCACTAATCTAAACGTAGGGGCCGCATACGTGATGCTCAAAAAGTATTTTTTCGTGCGACGTGTGTGAAATTGAATATCTGCAACACTGGCGCCCTGAAACACTCTCATATATCACTCCCATGGAATTGGATATGCTACGAAAACTGTGCACTTTGACAACAACTGGACTTGTATATCAATGGCGTTTTACTCGAAAAGAAAAACAACGTACGTGCATTTTAGACGTACGTTATTAGTTATAAGGTAATTTAATTTAATTTCTTTGGCAACTAATTCTCAACTCGACTCTTTTATAACAGAACGGTAATGTGATATTTTTACCAACTGTATACCAATTTTAATTCCACTTTTTATTTGTTAAAAAATAATTTTCCTTTATTACTTAAAAGTATCATAATTAAAGTTCTTAATGAAAAAGTTACCTATTAAACTAATCTTTAACTACAACTTTATCCGGGTGAACGCCTGTGTTGTTTACTTCACATATACTTACAAAATTTTATGAAAAGCTGTTAAGGCAACTAGAAGCGGCAAACAAACAAGTCACTTCTACATTTATAATATTAATAAAGATTAAGTTCCACTACGTCCAATGTCGATAGTCACCGCAGTGACCGTAACCCAAAAGCGTATGCAGTGCGACACACAAAAAATCCCGGAAAGCTTTTAAGCCCACGTCGAGGCGATTTCGGGCACTAACTGATTGGTGGGCGCACGGACGCGCAAGGATTGTTACGTAAATTATTATGTCAGTTACTTTGTTTTCATCTTGGAGTGATTGTTTCTAATGAAAATAAGTTCTCATTTTATATTATTACGTACTTACTTTTTATTTATTTATTTTGATGCTTCAAAAAAATACTAAACTCACCTCTTTCTGCCGTGACGTGATGTGTCCCGATGGCAGCGATCAACAGCACTGTCAAACACTTGGACGCCATGTCACACTGTCACACTGCCGCACTGTCACACTGTCACACCATTAGCACGCACTAACACTGCCCGCCGACACTGTACACTGGCTGGACTAGAACATGTTGGCACGACTGTCGATCGGGTGGCGAGCTGCGGACAAAAACATAATAATTAATTAATTAAAATCATCGAAATTCTCACTTATAAAATCATTTTTATACTTTAATCGTAGCACAAGTGTCATCATCATCATACCAGCCGTCAACTGTTCACCGCTGAGTATCAGCCTCCACCAAAATAATTCTTTATTAACACCAGCCTCCTTGAACGAAATACTAAAGATTCTATGGATAGAATTCATTCGATCAGCGCTTGTATGTGAAAGAGAAAGACAGTGCAGTTGCCGGGTGGGGGGGGGGGAGGAAATGTTAGTAATGGGGACGAAGGGCGCCATTGCTAGCAATATACCCAACCAGGTCGACCTCCCCGTGGTCCCCCACGAAAACCATCGTGCTGAATTCATCACGATGGGCTAACTGACCTGCCTTTTCATTCTCTTTTATCTATCATCGTGCACTGGTGCCCCGCCAGCGTATACCGTTAGCGCGGGCGGGGTTATCGTTTTATTATTATTCAATAAAAAAAAGTGCATATTGCCATCTCATTCTCTCTTATGGAGTCGTTAGTGATAACGATTCTGCCGATAGATACGTTTGTACCGTGCCTATGAGAGCTGCATCGACCAATTATTTAATACTGCATTGAAATATAAATGTATATATAATATAACCTGTTGTTTTATCTAAAAATAGATGACTTCCAAAAATAATTATAATATTTCGTAGACACATGATAAAATGTGTTCATAAAACATGATAATCACTAACACCGCGTAGAACAGTTTTCATAGATTTTTAACGACAACACTGATGTACTATCATTAAAAATTCAGAGAATTATAAAGCAAAACGTGTTACCAATATAAACCTCATTACTCTATAAATAGCTGCTCAATATGTGAGCTTATAATGCCATAGGTTATTATGGGAAACTCGAAAATGCTTTGTCTATTTTCGAACCGTGTTTCTTTGGTTATATTCGCTGACACAATTTTATTGTGAAATTTAAGTCTGTAATGATATGAGAACGAAAAGCCATTTAAAAACAGATTTCTCATTTCTGGCATATCGCTATTGATATTGATACAGTTCCGGCGTCTGAGGGGCTTACGAGTGTTTTTTTTTTTATGTATGATAATGGAATGGTAACCCCGCCTGCGTTAACGGTATACGCTGGCGGGGCACCAGTGATAGATGATAGGTGAGGATGAAAAGGCAGGTCAGTTAGCCCATCGTGATGAATACACATGGAATTCAGCACGATGGTTTCCAGGGGAGACTATGGGGAGGTCGACCTGTTAGGGTATATTATTAGCAATGGAACTGGTAATCCGCATTACTAACAATCCCTTCTCCCCGCTTACGAGTATTTTGACCAACGTCACGAGGCACGACGTCCGGTAAATTGTATTTCGACAGGTCGTATCGGCTGCAACGAAAAAAAAAAATCGGGATTAAAAATTTGGAACACACGCCGGGGGAATTGGTGGCGTTTGTTACAGAAAGTGCTGGAGCAGTGTTACAGGACTTTGGGGAACTATACCAATTTGTATGGAGGCAGACGGATGGGGAAACGTTAATGAACGCCATGTCTCCCGTAGATGTTTCCGATAGATCCTACTAGATGCAATTTCAAACGCTGAAGTTTGTATGTATGTATAGATTCTTTTTTTTACTTTTTTATGCTTAAACGACTGAATAGTTTAAAAAAAAAGTAGTATATATAATTTTTTCTCTTTTTCTTCATGCAACATACATTGGCAAATAGACTGACGGCCCACCTGATGGAAAGTGGTAACCGTCACCTATATACATAAACAGTAGCATATCCATAACAGAGTTTACTGTGTTACCCATGATACCCCCCATGCGTTGCCATTCCTGAGGACTAAGTTGTCATACTTCTGTACCTTGTAATTTCACTACCATATCCCACCATTCAAATCAAAACACAACCACGCAAACACAGCTTCAAGGCAGAAATACTAATGGAACATAGGTACTCAAACAAACGACATTTGTACAAAGATTTCCTCTGGTGTCTATTGCATAGGACACTTTATATAGGGATTTACGTGAGCAAAGCTACGGAAAACGATTAGTCCATATTATAGACGGAGTTATTAGGTAATAAACATAAAAAATACAACATTTGAAATGATTGAAGATATATATTTGTAAAACATTTTAATTTTTATTAATAAGAGGGTAAATGTGAAAGTGTCAAGAATTAGCTTTTTAACCCGGCCAGTGATCATACGAGGTTTGTCCGGAAAGTACGTATAAAAGTTTTTTAAAAATTTTATTTTACAATTATTCAGGTAAATCAATTTTATCCCCTTCAAAGTACTCCCCCTGTGACATAATGCACTTGTGCCAACGCCGTTTCCACTGTGAGAAGGCTCCTTGAAAGTCCTCTGGTTGTAGGTTTCTCAGCTGCCCCGTCGTAGCTTTTTTTATCTCATTTATGTCCCCCAAATGCCGCCCCCGAAGTACCAATTTGGTTTTTGGGAACAAGAAGAAGTCACACGGGGCCAAATCCGGCGAATAGGGGGGGTGTTCGGTCACCGTAATGGAATTTTTACTCAAAAACTCACGGACAACAAGAGAGGTGTGGGCAGGGGCATTGTCGTGGTGAAGAATCCAACGCCCCTCTCGCGCCAATTCTGGACGAACTCGTGCCACACGAGCTTTGAGGCGTCTGAGCACATCGACGTAGAATTTTCCATCAACTGTCTGGCCTGGAGGGACGAATTCTTGATGGACAATCCCCCGAACATCGAAAAAAACAATCAACATTGTCTTGACATTTGAGCGGGATTTTCTTGATTTTTTTGTTCGTGGTTCCCCGGATGTCTTCCACTCTTTGCTTTCACGGCCATTCTTGCCGAGTTTCGAGAGAAACTTGATTACGACGCGCTGCTCTTCAACGGAAGCGGGCTCCATGCCGACGGGGTTTCGTTAAGAGGTAACTTCACAGATGGCGTGACAAGCCAGTTCGCACCGCACGGCGGTCAGACCAGAACTGAAGCATTGTTAGGGACATAAGGAAGGGGTCCTGCGCTTACCTGGCCTCCCCACTCCTCTTTCTCGCATTCCAGAACACTTTTATACGAACTTTCCGGACAGACCTCGTATTCCGGCCACGCAGACAAAATCGAAGCTACAAGCTAGTGAAACAATAAAAAAAAACAATTACAAAGCAATATGTAAATTAAATATCGTGAATAGATACAAAGAATGCGCTAGCGCAACAAACTGGGCGAAAATAACAAGTGCTCTGTGACTGGACGATTATTTTTAGTGAGAAAGCTAAAGAATATATTGTTTACATGACTCCATTCGTATTGCTCTTCATTACTTTACTTTATTACTAACTATATCCCGCAGATTCGCCCACGTGAATACTGATTCGCTTGGGTGAATAAAGAAAAAAATTAATTACACAAAAGCAAGATAAAGAGGCAACAATAGGCGACCTTATTGCTCGCGATCTGAGGATTTCGAATTTGGTACACGAATTAATTGAGTATATACTATGGATGGATGATATTGGATTGATAACCCCACCTGCGCCATATATACACTGGCAAGACACCAGAGAAGGGTGACAGGCGAAGATAAAAGCAAGTTTTTTTTATAGGTGAAAATGGAATGGTAACCCCGCCGGCAGTAACGGTATATGCTGGCGGGGCACCAGTGAAGGGTGATCGATGAAAATAAAAACAGGCCAGTTAACCCATCACGATGAATTTATCAGGAATTAACAATGATAGTTTCCAGGGGTAACCGGTGACCGTAAAGAGGTCGATCTAACCAGGTCAACCTCCACGCGGATTGCTAGCAATAGAATTCTTAGTCTCCATTACTAACAATCCCTTTCCCGCAGATAAGTAGGTCAGGTAGCCCATCGCGACGAATTCATCTAGAGTTAACCACGATAATTTCCACGGGACTTAGTAGAAGTCGAACAGATAGGGTATTTATCTAAATCCGGTGCCTCTTGGCGCTGTGACAGCCAACCACTGGTTGTCAAATTTGACACGACACATTGCATGTGGAATATAGATCGATTCAGTCAACTTATTAAGTTTAGTCACCCAATTATTATCATCACAACAGCCTTTAATTTTCCACCGCCTTTTTTTTGTCTTTCTCCATAGACTGTATAATAAGGAACGGTCCAGAGCTACTTGCATACACTAACACCCTGCAATGGATTTGAAATCATCACTCCATCTAGTGAGGAAAAGGATCCTCCCACCCTGCATCGTATGAGATCGCCACTCAAGAACTTTTCTTCCTTGACGGTCCTTCGAGCTACGTGACCAACCCATTGCCAATTTAGCTTGCTGAACCTTCGGGCTATGTCAGTCACTTTAAATCTATCTATCACGCAAAAGAACTCTAAGCATAGCCGTAGCTCACTGAGCATCTTGACGCTTCTACATACGGCCAACAGTACAGGATCTTGTTTCAGTTTTGTAATTGATCACTCAAAGATATTCGGCTTTAAACTCCGAGATATTTTGGATAAGAAATTGTCGTCAACCAATACTCCAGTAGAAAGAACAAAGACACGAATAAAAACTAGTCTTATTGTAATTAGAAATAAAGGCATTAAATTTCTTCCTAAAAGCCCCTAGTGTTTGAGTGTAACGATGATAAATTGCCATGTCCTCCCCAACTTAACAAGGGGGAAATCATTTCGCCAACTTAATAAAACTTAATAGAGTCGACCGGTTCAATTATATTTGTTTTGATGGAATTCGCTCTTTGAATGATTAATACATTTTATTTGTCGTCATTTAAATCTACGAGAGACTGTCGTCCATTTTGTTACATTTAAAATTATCCGATAAACGTTTGCAGATTTGCACTACATCATTGGCTGTCCACTGCTGAACATAAGCCTCCCATAATACACACAAGTGCCATAAGGGATGGTTTTGAGCCACCTGCATCTACTAACTCCTTGCAATGCATTTGAAGTCGTCACTCCATCTAGTGGGGGGTGTCCTACACTGCGTT